AAAATAAATTTCTACTCACCTTCATCAGACCCTTCCTCCTCTTCCTCTTCCGGCTCCTGACCCTCGTGCGTATCCTTAAACTTATTGGTGATCTTCGCGTCTTCGTTGTCCTCGACCTCGTCCTCGGAACTACTCAGGTCCCCCGGCCTTCCGCTATTGTCATTTTTATCCTGCTCCCCGTTCCCCTCATCTTCCTCTTGATTCGCTGCTCGACTCGTTTTCTTCCTTCTCCGGTCTTCCTCCATCATAACCCTACCAAGTTAAAAAAGAATAATAAATTTGCCACTGTCCCAGATCCCAAGGGACACTCACACGTGGGAATTTATTTTGGACAATTTTTTGATGGCAGCGAACATCTCCGAGAAAAACCTCTTCATGTGCTGAATGATCATCCAGGGCTGAACGGAGTAGTCCTGGCTGTAGCACCGCTTCGGCAGGATATGGAACCTCAAGATGTACCGGTACTGCCTAGAAGCGGAAAGTTCGAGTAAACTACAAAAGTAGACTTTGGCGCCCAACGTGGTGTTTAATAATTTTTATTACTAAACAAGCCTATTATCGTTTGCTTGAAACTGTCAAGCGATACTTTATCCACAAACAAATTCATCGTCATTTTGTGTTCACAATTGGTGAATACAAAAGTGGAAGTAGTGATAAACAGATAAACTATTTTTTTAAATGATCCCTAAAATAACAATCAGAAGGAACACCATAATTTTCATTTTCTAGAACTCTTTCCGTAATGTCAGCCGTTATGAGTGGTACCGGCTCTCCCACGGGCCCTCTATACTCGTTCAAAGGCAATGCAGCAGCTGCATAGAAGAATTTGAGGAAACAAACTTATATTTCTAAGTCAAAGGTAACCTTCGTGTAAATATGAAGTTACACTTTGTGTAACCCATATTTATTTCAGTATTTAGTGATGATATGGTGTATTTGTGCGTCTTCATTGTCAAGTTACTGTGAGATTGTAAAAAAACGTGTACACGAATAGAAGGAAGATAAAATTTGACAACAATGCATGCCATATCTCGCAATTGTTTGAGTCGCTCTAGACTATCCGGTAGTAAGGGATATTACGAAAAATTTATTTAAAAAAAAATCAATCGCTACAACAAAATTTAAGAAAACAAACTTATGTCATGTCTTTCCAAAGGTCACACCCTGTATATGCAATTTTTCGAAAAATTATCTATTTGACTAGTTCTACGTTCTGATAAGAAACATCGCCCCGTACATAACACAGAAAGATACAAAAAATTACAAAAACCGATTTTGGCGCCCAACGTGGGGCACAAAATTTAACCATTTCAGACCATTTGAAACTAGTAGAGAGAGTAATAATTTAATTTTTTTACACAGTACCTTACTGGCTCCAGTTGCAGCTCTGTCGTAACGTCGATTTTTTCCAGCACGTCGGCCACCACGACCCTCGTAAGCATCTTCCTCAGCGTTTCCGCCTTTTGCTCCACTCCAAGCACGTTCATGAACGGGATTTCCATGGAAGGCGTTTTGATGTTCTTGGAGGCCATCATCAGGATCTCCCTGAGACGGGGGATACCCAGGGTGACGTTCATCTCGCCCCTACCGGCGAAATGGAACGTGTTCAGTGTCATTTGAGTCGAAGGTTCACCGATTGACTAAAAAAATATATTTATATACAGAGTGCCCCGATTTTTGGGGTCAAAGCTGAATATTTTTACCTGGGCGGCGAGTAACCCGACGGGTTCACCGGGCGAGCACATCGACTGCATGATTTTCAACTTCATCATGTTCAGGAATTTCTTCTTTTTTTGCACGGGGTAATCCTCGAGCATCGATTCCAGCCGTTCGTTGATCGAACCGAAATGTCTGTCCGCCTGGAAAACGGCATCCAGGGGGTCCGGACACGGTTTGCAAAAATCTTTGCAACTAAAAATAACGGACATTGAATTTATTTACACTTAAATGTAACTCTGCAAAAACTCACGCCTCTCTAACATCGGAGTCGGCGCTGTGCCATATATTTTGCAAACGATGCGCTTCGAAAATATTCGACGTTCTCTCCTTCACCCTTTCTATCATAATATGGTAAGGGCTCGTACGCACCTTCTCCAGGGGATCTCCGTACGTAGCTTTCCATCTGGTTATCTACGGGGAGACGAATGAGGCAAACTGCCGCTCTGGCGCCGATCGTGGGGCATTAAAAACGAATCATACTTACGGCTCTGTGGTGCTGTTTTATCTCGTACTGGTCCTCTCCCTTCTTGAACTGTTTAATAAGTTCATCCTGAGCAAAGGCTTTTATGTTGTCTTTCAAGAAATCGAGACGTTTCTCGTTGAAGAACTGCGCCTTGGATATGTCCATGCCGTCTTCGCCGTACCTGAACTGAAACGGCGACGTCAGTAATTCAAAACAATATACACTGACATAAATCTAGTCCATAACAGTGATTAAAAAAAATTAATTTTTTCAATGCTGCAAATTGTAGCCATTTCAAATTATGGAAAAATTAAAATTTATCAAGAACGCGCAGTGACATCATTTAGTGCGACCGAAAATACATCCTGCTTCTGTCATCTGCCGTTTAGTCTTGTTCCTGTCACTCATCTTCTTGATTATCGATGGCACTAAATGACGTCACGAGCTCCCATGTATTTCGAGCCGCCGGATACGAATTTGTACGTATTCCGAACCAGTTAATATGAATTTTGCATCGGAATTACGCCATCAGGTCGGGACTTTTTACTAACCTCAAAAAAAAAAAAGTTGAATCAGCAAAAATACTGCTTATTTATGAAACAACTCTGTGTGTAACGAGACGAATGAAAATGGAAATTCAACCAGCCTAACCTCAAAAACTTGTGTAACATCATTTGACATATTCTAATTGTATGGAAATCGGGACGTAATATTTCTTTAGCGTGTTTTTTAAAGAACTGTATACAAATTTGACATCTGAATTGATCGCTCGAATAATGACCACATTCTAACCTCAAAAATGTCAGCGTAATCAATTTTTTTGTATAAATAGATTAGCCCTGTAAAAAACAAAACTTATGTGTTGTAATGCTCAACCGTTAAGTTCTTTTAGGGTAAGTATGCAATAGAATTTCGACCTAACCTCAAAAAACTGCATCAACTTATTCGAAACGGAGGTTAATCAGTTCCTCTTGCCCAATATCTCTCACAAACAAGTGAAGAGAGCTTTCAAGCATATAAACCTCCAACTCTTAGAGCATTGCTATTCTTTGGTCAATTGGAATTTTTTGTGGTTAGGTTGGAAATCTGATGCTTACCTTAAAAGAATTAAATTATTGCGCATCAAAATACAAAAATTTTTTATTTTATTAGTTCCTTTCCACTATTTCGCAGTTATTAAATGCTCAAGTAGATCTATATATACAAAAACTCGATTATCTCGATTTTTTGAGGTTAGAAAGTGGTCAATATTCAATTGATCAATTGTAGTGTCAAATTTGTACTCAGCTCTTTTAAAAAAATGATCTAGATGGATGGTATGTACTTATTTCCATATGAATTGTAAGTTTTTAATGCATCCACGCAAGCTTTCAAGGTTAGGTTGACATTCTAACCTATAATTTTTGAGGTTAGAACATAATTCTAACATGATCGCGCAATTCTGATTCTTTTAAAACGATGAGAAAAGACTATAATGTTAATGAAACATCAGAAAAAATAGATCTACTACTTTCTCTTCTTCTTCTTGTTTTCTTTTTTTCTGTAAATGTTAGAAATTCAGGATTGAAACAGTCGTGAATTGAGAAACACAAATTTTACTCCGATAGACTGATTTAGGTAAAAAATATTCACTTTTCAATTAAATTCGCGGTTTACAACAATATTCGTAAAATCGTTATTTGCAAAATGGCAACTAACCGAACATTTAATTTAAATCCACCGTTTATTTGTGTCGATAAGCAAAACATTGACTGTAATTACCTGAATAACGCTCTTATCGCTGTTCCTAACCGTCATGTCGTAACCGACGTGCAGCCCTTCCAAATGCTTGATCAAACACCTTTGCAGGTACCCACTACGACTTGTTTTCACAGCCGTATCGATCAAACCCTGAAGAAAATAAAAATTGCGGATACAATTACGCAAATCCGCCCCCTCTTCCACACAAGTCATTAATAGACTTCTGAGATATTTCCAGAGACATTATTGTTATTCAAATATGATTTGAAATAAAACGTCGACTTACCTCACGACCGGCCATGCAATGGAAGAAAAACTCCTGCGGTTGGATGCCGGTCATAAACCGCCCGTCTATAAACCCGCCGGCCCTCGGCGTGAACTCAAACGCGGGGAAGCTGGGTAAGGTTTTGCCGGAGATCATGACGGGAGGACGTTTACCTTCCAGTTCGATCTGGCCTAGTAGGCAGGAGATCTGCATGGTGTTGACGGTTGAGCCTTTGGCGCCCGACTGTACCATAAGCTGTAGGTTGTTCTCGGGGAATTTACAGACCAAGCCCGCTGGGAGGCAAGTTCTGGAAAATTTTAATGTCATTCAACTTAAGTACAGAATTTTTGCAGAAGAATTTTCGTTTAAATGAGCAAAGGCTGTAACATTATACAAGGAATGGTGAGATATAACCTACAAAGTATATGTCACACCTCAAATGTCACTATTGTTCAACGCAAACTTGCACAAAACATTGCTTTGTATCAACGGGCAGAGAGCAACCTACTAATCTCCAGGTACCATTAAAGCTATCAACTTTTTAACTAANAATTAAATCCTCTACCTTCTCTTCTTCTTGTTTTTTTTTTCTGTAAATGTTTAAAATCCAGGATCAGACAATCGTGAATTGAGAAACACAAATTTTACTGTGACAGACTGATTTAAGTAAAAAATATGAATTTTTCAATTAAATTCGCTAATTACAACAATGTTGGCAAAATAGTAATTCGCAAAATCACAATTATATGAACCCTGCTCAAATCCACCGAACTTTGTCTTTAAGTACCTGAATCACGCTCTTATCGCTGTTCCTGACAGTCATGTCGTAACCGACGTGCAGCCCTTCCAAGTGCTTGATCAAACACCTCTGCAAGTACCCACTACGACTCGTTTTCACAGCCGTATCGATCAAACCCTGAAGAAAATAAAAATTGCGGATACAATTACGCAAATCCGCCCCCTCTTCCACACAAGTCTTTAATAGACTTCCGAGATATTTCTAGAGACATTGTTATTCAAAGATGATTTGAAATAAAACGTCGACTTACCTCACGACCGGCCATGCAATGGAAGAAAAACTCCTGCGGTTGGATGCCGGTCATGAACCGTCCGTCTATAAACCCGCCGGCCCTCGGCGTGAACTCAAACGCGGGGAAGCTGGGTAAGGTTTTGCCGGAGATCATGACGGGAGGACGTTTACCTTCCAGTTCGATCTGGCCTAGTAGGCAGGAGATCTGCATGGTGTTGACGGTTGAGCCTTTGGCGCCCGACTGTACCATAAGCTGTAGGTTGTTCTCGGGGAATTTACAGACCAAGCCCGCTGGGAGGCAAGTTCTGGAAAATTTTAATGTCATTCAACTTAAGTACAGAATTTTTGCAGAAGAATTTTCGTTTAAATGAGCAAAGGCTGTAACATTATACAAGGAATGGTGAGATATAACCTACAAAGTATATGTCACACCTCAAATGTCACTATTGTTCAACGCATACTTGCACAAAACATTGCTTTGTATCAACGGGCAGAGAGCAACCTACTAATCTCCAGGTACCATTAAAGCTATCAACTTTTTAACTAACTGATATTGTGTGAGGCAAGTACTAATTAATTAAATTGTATCTTGGCTGTTTGCCAGATATTGGGGTTGTAATTTAATGCTGGACGGAGTTTGTAGCTCACTGAGTGGAAAATAAGGGAAATATGTTATTCAAGTGACATTTGGTGAGTAAAACGTCCCTAGCAAATGTGATATTCAACTTCCTATAAATTTGTAGGGAGTGTTTCAATCAAAAAACTATATATGGAAGGTGCCGTTTAAAATTCATCAAGAAAATCAATATTTCACTTTTGCACAACTAAATTTTTTTATGTAAAAATTAGAAGGATTATAATTTGGTGCCATTTTTCAGGCAAAAACTATAGACAAAGTCAGATTAAAAAAAATAGGTTAACGTACGCACAAAATAGTAAAAAAAAATTGTCACTATCCAACTCACCTGTTGATATCGTTCGTATAAGAATCCAACCTCTTCCACACAAGTCTTTAATAGACTTCCGAGATATTTCTAGAGACATTGTTATTCAAAGATGATTTGAAATAAAACGTCGACTTACCTCACGACCGGCCATGCAATGGAAGAAAAACTCCTGCGGTTGGATGCCGGTCATNTGAACGCCCAGCGTGAACCCTTCTTGTTGCAGGAACCTCATGAACAGTTTGGCGAGAGAGGAGAGTGTCCTGATGGCGTATAAACCCCCGTATAGCTAGAAAGGGGAAAAGAATAGACTACTATGACTTATTCACGTTAAATATTATTATTATTCCCCTGATTTGTGCTAATAAATCAATGCAGGATGTTTTTTAGGTTGAGATTTTCCTTACAACCCGCATAGAACTCAATAATTAGTTTTTCAAACCAGTAGTGATCTGGATTTCAAACAATACACTACATAACTTCGTTGTTTAAAATGGCAAATATTTACAAAGATGATGATTTAACCGATATATTACCTTACAGGGAGCATCATCAAAATGCTGCCGAAGGGCCGAAAACCCGAGACAAAGACCAAGTCCGCGTCAGCGGACTTGCCTACCTTTCTAGTAATTATTATATTCCATACGAACTCCGTTTCCTGAGGCCTGAGCCTTATGCGAGCTTTGAACGTCAATATACACTACTGTTGGACGATGAATAAGTTCTTGTTCTCCAACAGATGGCGTTACCAGAACTGCACGGGTGTAGCTCAAGATGGTAACGCAACGGTAAAGATGTAATTTTCCTTTCATAGTTTTAAACATGTCGAATTTCATGCCGAAAAAAGGGTATTTGCGAGGAATTATTGCGGCACTCTATTCAAAAGAAAACTGCTGCAAAAGCACACAATTCTTATTGAGACTTACGGCGACCATGCTCTGTCGCAAACAACGCACAGAAACTGGTTTTGACGGTTCAAAAGTTTTGAAGTTGAAGATAAAGAATGCTCTGCAGCACCAAAACAGTTTGAAGATGAGGAATTGGAGGTTAGACGCTAACTGAATCTGCAGAACCATTTGGAGTTTATCACATAACAGTTTCAAAACGTTTGAAAGCGTTAAGAATGATTCAACAGCAAGAACATTGGGTGCCGTACGAAATGAAGTCGAGAGACGTCGAACAGTCTCTTTGCACGTGTGAACAGTGCTTCAATGCTAGAAACGGGAAGGTTTTTTGCATCATCTCATGACTGGTGATGAAAAATAGATGCGCTACAATTAATCGTAAGAGTAGAAAATCGTGGGATAAGCCCAACCAGCGTCAACATCATCAGCAAAGCTCCGAGCTCCATAGTTCCGAGCTTCAGCTCTGCATTTGGTGGGATCAACTGGGTGTAGTTTAATACGAGGTGCTCAAACCAAATGAAACCATCACGGGAGATCGCTATCGACTACAATTGATGCGTTTGGGACAAGCATTGAAGGAAAAATGGCCGCTATACAAGCAGAGATCCGACAAAGTGATTTTACAGCATGACAACGCTGGGCAACATGTTGCAAAACCGGTGAAAACTTACTTGGAAATGCTTATACGGGAAGCCCTACCCCACCCGACATATTAACCAGACATTAATCCTTGTTGCGATCGATGACACGTGGCCAGGCTGAGCAGCACTTGCATTCTTATGAAGACGCCAACAAAATGAACCGACGCTTGGATAACCTCGAAAGACGTGTCGTTTTTCCAACGTGGAATTAAAATTCTGCCAGACAGATTCGAAAAACTAACGGCTAGAGATGTACAATACCTTCAGCGACATGTTTTTACTGATTTTTTTTAAATAAAGCATTAATTTTCCCGAAAAAACAGCGAGAACTTATTCAACATTCTTATATATTCCGGTATTACAACTTTGTTTAATTTCGTTCAACGTAATTACAGAATCCTAATTTAAATAAAAAATATCCCAAGTAGTCCAGGCGGTATCTGTTTTAAAAAGGGTAGACTTGGGTAAAACGCATATGATCGGAGATTTTTGCTTTAACGGCTTCTAAACTACATAAGAAATGATAATTTTTCTATGCAAATAAAAAAAAACGTAGGCTTAATTGTTATTGCAAAAAACTAAAAAAGTATAAAAAATAGCAAAAAAATTCATTTTTTTCTTGGATTTCTCGTCGACAACATAGCAACTATTCATTTTAGACAAAAATGGAAGAGGAAAAAAAGTTTTGGAATTAAATTTTGAACAAGATAGAGTTAGTTACAATTCGAAAAAATAATTATTGTTATTGCAAAAATCGGAAAAATCATTTAAAAAATTGCAAAAAATGCTAGCTTATTTGTCAATTTTTTTCAGACACTTGAATAATACCTAGGATCTTCATACTTTTCCGAATTAAACTTCTTAGTGCATAGAATCATCACACCAAATTTCATCTAATTCGGTTCGATAATTTTTACATAATAATTGTTTAAATTTTTTATTTTTTTTTAAATTAAAAAATTTTCAAAATCAAATTTCTAAAAATCTAAAGCCTTTGAATACTTGAAAATTTCAACACAAAAAGAAAAGCTCTCAAGCTTTAAAATGTTTTTTAAAAGATTCAAATCGGACGATTAGGTGAGCCGTGGTGATTGTTTAAACATTTTCACAAAATGCTTATAAAAAATTGCAATAATTTAATGTTTTTTTCCAATTTTTTTTATTTTAAAATATGGTTTGAATGTACTCGGAAAGACGAGTATTAAAAAAAAATTATGATCCGCCCATTATTTTCGGAGTTAAAGCTAACCTTAATTTACAGCAAAACTAAAAGGGTATAAGGGCTGTTTTTTGAACTAATAGGTTTGTCATTCTGAGTACTTTCCAGATATAAATTTTCAAAATTTGCAATCACGGGTGTCCCATTTAAAATGTCACTCAAAGATATTCAAGACCGCGTGAAATCCATGAGGTATCAGTGGTGGGGGGAGCAAACACATAGCTACTCCGATGTGAATTCTCGAGTTCAAAACTGCGACACTCGGACAAATTTCAATTATTTCAGCTTCTAATGGACCAATTTCAATGATTCTTTTTTTAAATCGCTGTCTCGCAACTTAAGAAATTCAATTATCATTATGTTCAACTACCTTTTATTATTAATTATTGGACTTGCAATTGCGAAAATGTTTAAACAATCACCACGGCTCACCTAAGCGTCCGATTTGAATATTTCAAAAACCATTTTAAAGCTTGAGAGCAATTCTTTTTGTGGTGAAATTTTCAAGTATTCAAAGGCTTTAAATTTTTAGAAATTTAATTTTGAAAATTTTTTAATTTAAAAAAAATAAAAAATTTAAACAATTATTATGTAAAAATTATCTAACCGAATTGGATGAAATTTGGTGTGATGATTCTATGCACTAAGAAGTTTAATTGGGAAAAGTATGAAGATCCTAGGTATTATTCAAGTGTCTGAAAAAAATTGACAAATAAACTAGCATTTTTTGCAATTTTTTAAATGATTTTTCCGATTTTTGCAATAACAATAATTATTTTTTCGAATTGCATCTAACTCTATCTTGATCAAAATTTAATTACAAAACTTTTTT